CCCACCTGAGCCAGGGGAGGTGGGCCGTGCTGAGACCCCCACCCACCCACCCAACCCCCTCACCTCTGGCAGGTGCCCTGGAGGGCCTGGGAGTTCTGACACGGGCCCCCAGGTTTGGGGCTGGGAGAGCCTCTGGGGACACTTCAGGAACCCTTACCTAGTCCACACCCACTGGCAGCCCGTGGTCAGACCGAGGCGTCTCTGTCCTCTCCACAATGGACCCACCCAGGTTCCAGGAGGGCAGGGGGTGGGCCTGGGTCCACAGCCCAGCCACAAGAGGGCAGAGGGAGGGGTTCTGGAGAAGTGACACAGACACACCCATGCTGTCACCTGGCAGGGAAAGGTTTATTAAGTTTACCACAGAGTGACAGAGCGAAACAGACATAGGGAGAGCCTGGTCTACATCGGAAAGTGAGCGTGTTACACAGACAGGACCTTACGCACAGGGATGGGGCAGAGAGAGCCATGCAGCCACATCTACCGGAAAGAAGCCCCGAGACCTAGGGCTCTGCATCAAGACACACAAACACCAGGCCACTTGTGCCCACCTAATAAAAAAATTAAGTGATGTGCGATATTACTTTTCTTTATAATCCCTTTTCCTCATAAAACGTTATGTGTTTAACACACACTTATGTCACTGCTAAAATCAGCAAGAGCTATTACAGTGGCTCCAACTTCATTAAGTTGATAAAAAAAAAAGTTGTCCTGTGGCCAGTTCACAATGGAACTAAATAAGTTTTGTTCCGAGATGCCTGGGGAGTTTCTCTGGCAGCCAGAGGCATTTCCAACAATTGGGTCATTCCGCCACCGAGAGACAGTCTCGGTCCACAGCACATGGAGCTGTGCCCCTGGCAGCCCGGGGTAGGGCAAGAGGGCAGGGTGGGCACTCAGCTCGGTGGAGGGCCCAGTGGACGTGGCCGGTCCCAAGGATGGGCTGGCCAGGGGGCCAGGACGGCGATGGGCGGCTCCCCACGAGGAGGTAATGTCAACAAGCCCCCAAACATACCGGGTGCCCAAGGGCCGCGATGAATCGACACCACTCCGCTGACAGCTGAGCCCCAGGAACGCTCAGGGGGTGGACCCTCGCGTTAGCCCTGTCAGGCAGGCCTGAGGCCCCAGGCCCGGAAGTGGGCAGGAGATGGATGGTGTGTCCTAGAAGCAGCCGCCTGCGGATGGAACACCGAGAGTCGGGCACGTCCGTTTCTGGCAGCAACCTTCCCAGGAGGCCCCTCACAGGGCTGCCTGCGCTCCCAGCCGGGGCAGCCAAAGGTGGACAGAAGGCCGGGTGGAAGCCCAACAGCTCGAAGGTGGCTCATGTCCAGAGAATCTAGTGTCTGACAGCCTTGCTCTGCGCAGCTGTCCCCGTCACTGGCTGCTGCGCGCCCTCAGCCGCACAAGGGATCGGCTGGCACCTCCTGGAGCGTTTTTCAGCTCAGGCTACAGGGGCCTGTGGTGCCCGGAAGGCGAAGGCTGGACAGAGAGGACGGCCCTTCCCCACAAGCTCTACCAGCCACTCCTGCCCCTGCAGCCTCTCAGAGGCTCCACCTTGAGGTTCTGGGGGGCCAGAGATCTACGTCTCCACACACTCGAGCCTTTAAGAAAACACACCCGAAGACTATTTGGAGCCAACGACCCAGCTGTCCTACCTCCCTCTGGGGGACACTGCTGGTCCCCCCACCTCAGGGGCCCTCCAGCCACCTGGGGAACATCGCAGTGCTGACCCTGCCGACAGAACGGGGACAAGGTCCCACCTGGCCGACCCCGATGGCCCCTCGAGCCTCCCCACGGGGGTGCTCCCGCACGGGGCAGACCCCCGCCGCGTGTTTGGGGCATCGCTTTGAGAGATTCTCCACACAGTGGACTTTTATAGGGAACCAGGGGTGCAAACCAGACCTATGTTACCCTATTTTGGTAGTAAGTCCATTTATACGACACGGCGACCAACCAAATCCCTGCCAAGCCCTCTGCTCAGGGACACCGGGCCCTGAGCGGTGCCCGCAGACCCCCGGGGCCCACAAGGCCAACTCCAGGGTCATATCCAGCATCAGCCACCCGGCCAGCCTACCCAGGGGTTGTCACAGCCCACTGGTCACAGCCTGACCAGTCCCCTTGGCCGGAGCACCAGACAGAAGACCTTTCGAGTTAGCAGGCCACAGAAGACCACTCTGGGGCAGTCGCCCCATGTCGCCCTGAGGTACAGCAATAGAAAGCACACACCCGTGAGCCATGGGCGGCAACCACCGCGTGCAGGCAGCCCGCTCGCCCTGCCTCTCGGCTTCTCTTAAGACACAAGGTGACGACAGAGCTTCAAGTCAGTGAGACCTGGGAATAACCTCACTGCAAGGATGGTGCCTGCTCGCCCCCAGGCGAGGGGCCGGGAGGGCAGTGCTGTGGGCCGGCTCCATGGCTGCCCCCGATCCAGACCGCAAGGCACCTGCCCTCCCGACACAGTAAGACACACTTTGGTCACAAACATCCAAAGGCTTTGAAATCTGTAAAACTCGATGGCAGGAAACTCACTTCTGCACGGAGCCGCCAGCAGTGGCCACGCCCTTCCCTTCGCGGGCCTTTATCACAAGCACTTTCCAGCATGGTTATTGTCCTAACAGTGACTTCAACAAATGTCCTTTGATGTCTTCGCTGGTTCAGATCACGATCAAGTTTAAGGCTGGGATCTCCAGAGTCAACACGCTTTCCAGGTGGTGGTCTCGCCACAAGCCCCTCTTGCTCCTATAAATCAAGCCCCAGCCGGGCCCTGGGGGCCCTGGGTCTGGAAGGGAGCGCTGGCTGTGGATAGGGGGCGAGGGGTGGCCCTCTCCCCACCATCCCGGCCACCCCCATATATTCTCTGCTCTCCGACCTCCCCGTTTTCTAGCTGCCAGGAGACCCCTCGAGGAGCAGCTAAACGCAGGCTGAGATTGAATCACAGCAGGAGGACCTACCATCCGAAAGCTATGAAGGCCATTGAATTGCATATAAGTGACCTGCTGGGAGCACCCGCTTCGTTGGGGGGAGGGTGTTGAGAAGCACACACTGGATGGCTGGTGGGTCAGTGGGGGCCTCAGGAACACCGAGACGGCCTCCAGTGGTGGGAAGGACTTTCCCGTCCAAGCACAAGATTCCCAAGGTCATGCTCCAGCTATGATGCCATCGAAAACACTCCCATCTTCTGGTCGGTTCTCTGTGATCCTGGGCTTCTGAGGGAGGACACTTGGCCTGTGGACACATCCGACCTGGACAGGCACCGCTGCTCCTTGGGCACAAATCACAACCTACAAAGTGCCACCAGCAACGGAGAGACAGGGCAAGACCAGAGGCTGGTCAAATACATTAAACACCACTATTCCTTTCAACACACAGAAAATTCAAGTAGTTTATTTAAAAACTGCTTAATTTCGTCTTGAAATATATGTTTGCTTTAGAACGATCATATTGCAGCATGATTCTCATGCACTTTAAAGTACTTTATTAAAAAAAAAAACACCAACTTGAGGCAGCAAAGTATTACAATCCTCTCTCACTTCATCCGGGTAATGGGCGGAGGCCTCCCTTCTTTCTCCTGAGATCAGTAAACCTAGACTGACCGTTCCAAAGAAGAAACGCAGAAACTGCTTAGTTATAAAGAGAGTGTGGTTTGAAAAGCATTTTCCAAACAGCTGCAGCACGTGACGACCGGGCTTCCCCGGGGCCCGAGTTTGGTTCTCCGCTGAAACCAGAAACACCGCGCCGAGCTGACCCGTGGGCCGGACCTTCCTTCTGTCCCAAGACCTACTTCTGCACCGTGAGGTGGCTCCGATTCCAGTGGCCAGCGGGGTGAGCAGGCACAGAGGTCAGAAGGGTGCAGAGTGTCCGGTGTGTGGGCCTGGTGGCGGGGCGCCAGAGGCAGAGCCACACCGGGAGCTCTGCCCTCGTGATTTCCCGCACAAATGGTGTAAAGACAAATCAAAGTGCAACGCAAGAATCACAGCCTCTCCAGGGAGCTTCGGACAGGATGACGGGCAGGAGGGCTGAGCACGGGCAGCCACACACAGGTAGGCCCGCAGGCAGGGGCAGGTCTGCTAGTTCAAGGGCTACCGCGGCGCTGGCGGCCCATCCCAGCCCGCTGGGCGGGGTGTCTGGAATTGGCCCTTGTGAATTGCCCTGGTCACCCCACGAGAACCTGGGGGCCCTGCCTCCTCCTGGCTTTGGTGTCACTACTACTGCTGCCCGCCGCCCACGAACGGGGCTGCCCGGGCACAATGCGGCAGACTCTGAGGAAAACAGGAGATAGATGCTGTTCTTCCAAGAAAACCACAGTTTCGGGAAAAAGAAAAAAAAAAAAAAAAAAAAAAAAAAAAAAAAATAAACAAAACTGAGAAACCTTTAGCCAGACCCATCAAGGAAAAAAAAAAAAAAAAAAAAAAAAAGAAGAAAAAAAAAATTTTTTTTCCCTAAAGTAATCATAGAGGAAAATACTCTCCAATAGCTGCAGCACCAACAAAATGTGATGAGATCTGACAGAACGTCCAAATACCTGTAGGCGTCCACAGGGAAAAAAATTTGATAAAAATATTTTAGTCACTGACTACATGACTGCTATCTGAAGAATTCAGATTAAGATATAGCAAAATACATCAGATATTTTTTGTTTTCAATTATAACTTTAGAAATGCAAAATTCTTATTGTTTTCTAAATCACTTATGGTCTATGTTGTAAATCTGGTTTATACTTTTAAACCATGCAGAATAATATACCTGCAGAGTAAAAGACAAAGTTGAAATTAAAAGATCTTTTACGATTAAAAAAAAAAAAAGATTTCAAATGATTCTTTTTAATTGTGGGAAAAGTAATTAATGTGGTATTTTTGCCTAGTGGCGCAAAGCTACCCTACAACTACCGAGCCTCCACTCTGGTTTGCGCTGCTGCTAAGGCCACAGCAGCCAGCCTGCAGGGGCGGTGTCCCCCGCCCCTCCCCACCTCCCTGCCCACCCTGGAATGTGTGTGCACGGGGCGCGGCTCAGACCATCGACTCGGTCTCCACGAGCCGCTGCGGGCCCTCCTTCCGGGACAGCTTCAGGACCGTGGGCTTCTCGATGCCGCTGCTCCCGCCTTCGCCCAGAGCCTGGGAAGACAGGCCCTTCTGCTCTTCCTTGGCCTCTTCAGACCCCTCTGGGTAGATGACCAGGAAGGTGGCCGTCAGGAAGCCCAGGAAAGAGCCCACAGAGGCCACCATAGGGATGACGCGCACAGTCCCGACCGCATCGACCACGCTGCCCAGGGCGGAGGCCACCAGGATCTGGGAGATATAGACCTGGCAGGAGAGGATGGCACAGTCTATGCCAAAGCCACGCTTGGAGTTCCCGGGGCTGTGGTGAACGTACTGCAAGAGAGGAGGACACAGGCGTGAGGGCCGGGGGGTCAAGCCGTCAATCATCCTTCCCAGGGTTTGAACGTTAGCTCAGAAGCCTGGACACAAAACCTGCCTCCCCCTCAGCCTGCCTGTCCCCGTCCTCACCTGACTTCTATCGAACATATAGTATTGGAGGTGCTGGCCATCGCGATAAGGTAAGAAAATAAATTAAACCTATTAAGAATTGGAGTATACGTATAGCCGACTCACTTTGTTATACAGCAGAAACTAACACACCATTATAAAGCAATTCTACTCCAATAAAGATGTTTGAAAAAAAAGAACTAGAGGGGCTTCCCTGGTGGCGCAGTGGTTAAGAATCCACCCGCCAATGCAGAGGACACGGGTTCGAGCCCTGGTCCAGGAAGACCCCACATGCCGCGGAGCAACTAAGCCCGTGCGCCACAACTACTGAGCCTGCGCTCTAGAGCCCGCAAGCCGCAAGTACTGAGCCTGCGTGCCGCAACTACTGAAGCCCGCGCGCCAAAGCCCGTGCTCCGCGACGAAAAGCCACAGCAATGAGAAGCCTGAGGACTGCAACAAAGAGTAACCCCCTCTCGCCGCAGCTAGAAAAAGCCTGTGTGCAGCAATGAAGACCCAACGCAGCCCAAAATAAATAAATTCATTTAAAAAGAAATACAAATGAGAAACAGAAGTATTGTCTTTAAGAAGAATTGGAAAGCAAGAAATAAAGCTCATTGTCCATGGATGATGTAACTGTGTATGCAGAAAGCCCCGAAGAATCTATAAATATACTACAACAATTAATAGAATACACCATGTTTAGGGAATATCATAAAGGCTCAATACTATAAACTTTGAACTCTCTCTAAATTGATATATGTAATCAATGTGTTTCCAATAAAAAAAACATCCCAGAAGCTGATTCTAACATTTAAATGGTCAAGAACACCCAAGACCATCTTGAAGAACCAAGTTAAAGACCTTATACTACCGGGTTTCAGGTCCTATTATAAACTACTTAAGACAGTGAAGCATGACCTGTCTAAGGACAAACAGACCCATGGAAGAGAACAGAGATCCCCCCAGACACACACCTGACTTATGACGATCACGGCACGGCAGTGCGGGTGGGGACACTGGGTCACAAGGCCATCCCCACCCTTTGTGAGGAAGCCAGAAAGTTCTGATCTACCTTAGACCACACACACGAAGTCCACCCCAGGTAGGACACAGGCCGAGGGTGCGGGTGCGAGGGAAGACGTGAGCAGGAA